CCTCACAAGGACCCGGGTGCTCTTCTGGGTACTGTCTCTAGGGTGGAAAGCAAACAGGAGGACTCATGACTCACAGCAACCCCAAAGCAAGCCCTGCACCCTCACACCCCTGCCATCACCAGCCCCTGTCTTCCCCCTCCCCTTCTCCTGGCCCTTCTCCCCGTCTTCCCCACTCTTGACTCCTCCAGCTCCTTCTTTACAGGAGCTTCGTGGGCTCAGGAGGTTAATTCGCCATCCCTTTCCTAGAAGACCCATCCCAACCCTCTGGCAGCCCCAGGCCCTCTCACCCTTTGGGCCCCAAGTAAACCAGGACCCTTGTCCTTTCCTGCCTCTTGGAACTTGTGCTATGTGTCAGCATCTCAGAGCCCTATGACTCCCTCCCAGCTCATATTCTCCATGCAAATGAAGATATCATCTGCCCATCCAGAGCCGTCCTGCACACCAGCCAGGACCGGATATAAAAGTAGACACTTGATAACTATTCATGGAACAAATGGCTCTTTCATCCGGGCCCTCTCAGAACCCCACTCCTGGGCTCTCTTTCATCTGTGGCTTTTCCTCGATCTGCTTCATCTGCCTAGAAGGTGCGTTCCTTCTCCCTGCCGCTCCACACATCATTTCCCACTCATCTCTCTGGGATCCATGCTCGGCACCCCTATTTAAGTTTGATTCCCCACCCCTGGGGCCTCCCTAATGTCCAATACGCAACTCTCTAGCTCAACTCTTTACAATTGCAAATTGCCAGCTAACCCTAGAGAGGCGATTAACAACGCTTCTTCTCTCCCTCAGACCACTCCAGACAGCGAGTTTAAGGGCAGTCACTGTCTGTCTGCCTTTCAAATAGTCAGGAACTCCTACCTCCCACTCATTGGCTGCCAGCAAATCAGGGGCCCACTGTGCTGTTTGGCTGGGGCTGCACCAGGGAGGCAGGGAGGAAAGAACACACACAGGAGAATCAGCAAGTGCTGGGCCGGGGGCATTTGAGTGTAGAGGGGTCTGGGGGTGGGAGCTTCCAGGTCTCAGACATTAAGCCTCTCTGCCTTCACTGAGAATCTCCTGCGTGCAAGCGATGCTATGGAAAGGACTTGGGGCATACAGAGATAAGGCCCCAGGTGACAGGATATGCCTGTGCGTCACTGCTGTTATCACTGCTATGGTGCTTGGTGCCACAGAGAGTACTGTCTACGGCCTGTCTTCCCGCTCTTTGCTGGAGGGTTTTCAGTTCACCCAGGGTCCCTTTTCTCCCTCCCTTGCTAGCATTCCTTTGTTCTTTTGTGCTGTGGATCATTCCCTCCCGTCCACCATTCCCCACCTCAGAGCATTTCCTTTCAGAAGGGGCTTTGCTACATAAGTCAGGCTGGCCTCAAACTCAAAAAGCTCTGCCTGCCTCATCCTTCCAAGAGCCGGGGTCAAAGGCACGCACCATCACACCCAATCTTCCTTCCTACCTGAGACACCGGCTCAGGTGTCCCAGGCTGGCTTCATAATCACTCTGTAGGGGCTGAAGAGATAGCTCAGTGGTTAAGAGCACTGACTGAGTCAGGCAGGGTGATGTCTGCCTTTAATTCCAGCACCAGAAGAGGTCAAGGCATCAGGATCCCTGAGAGTTTGAGGCTAGCCTCACCTACACAGGGAATTCCTGCCATGGCTACATTGTGAGACATTGTCTCAAAAACAAAACAAAACAAAACCAGGAAAAAGAGGAGCACCGACTGCTCTTCCAGAGGACCCAAGTTTGAGTCCCAGTAACCACACAGCAGCTTACAGCTGTCTGTCTGTAACTCCAGTTCCAGAACCTCCAATGCCCTCTTCTGGCCTCTACAGGCACCAGTCAAACAAGTGGTGCACAGACATATACGCAGGTTAAATATGAACAAAAAGTAAAAAAAAAAAAAAAGAATGAATAAATGAAAATCTTTAAAATCACTGAGAGTAGCCTGGACCGTCTGATATTCCTGCCTCCACCTTCCCAGGGCTGAAGTCACAGGTGTACCCAGCACGCCTTGTTTAATGGGGCGGAACCCAGGGCTTTGTGGGCGCTGGGCAAGCACTTTATCACAGTTCCATCCAGACTCCGAGAGAGCTAGAGGTTGGGGCAAGGGCCTGTGAAACGCTACAGCCCCGGGTTCCCATTACCCTAACGAGGAAGCCTGGGGCCTGCACGGTGGCAGCTGCCACTCTGCCCTTCTGCCTGACACTCTCAAGTGAGAGAGTTCCTGCTCCTTCGGCTTCCCGAACGGGCCCCATGGCCCACTTTGCTCCTGAGTGGCCTACTCTGCTCGTGGACACCTGGGATTTGTCTTCCTCTGCCTGCTTTTTAAATGTCAGGCTGCTCAGGGCTCTTCCTCCGGTGCCTGCGACTCTTCCAGCACCCTCCGCATCCCAGCACAGACTTTCTGGTGTCCTTGGATGCCCAACAGCAACATAGAGATACGTCACAACCAAAGCTGAACTCTGCCCCCCACCCCACTCCCAAGGCAGACCAGGGCACCCCCTTGGCCATCCTGCAGCCTGAGCACCACACAAAGCAAGACCTTGCCTGGCACCCTCATGTCCTTCCTTGGGTCCTGCGCATCAGCGACAGCCAAAGCCTGGCTGGTTTTTGTCTTCCGGTTTTGCCAGCTACTGATGTCTTGGGGGGGGGGGCAACCCTGAACTTCTAATTGCTTCCCTTCCCCCCTCCTCCTTTTAGTGAATTCTCCAAAAGCCTTCCAAAAGGCAAGCTGGACCGTCAGCAGTCCCTTCAATCCCTTTCAAGGTTCCCCCATAAACATGGGTCCCGACCCCTTCAGCTGACACAGAAGCCCCCAGTGGCCGACCCCTGCCTCCCTCCCTCCCCTGGAGGAGGCACCCCCAGAACAGCAAGCTGCTGCCATTCCTAGCCTCCTGCTCCCTGGGCCCCAGGCCTACTCCTCCTGACCTCCCGGATGCCCTAACCTTCCTGCCCCTCCCCCACCTTTCCCAGTGCACCCTCGAGGCCTTCTGGGGGCTGTGTCATTGCACTCACCGCAGTGAGTTATAATGATCGATTTTCACACACAGGGCGAGGAGCTCCTTGAGGGGAGGGATGATGTCCCATTCATCTCCGTAGCTCAGGCTCTGGCCTGGAGCCTGGTGCGGAGGACAGGCTCCACCAGTGGCTGATGGATGAAGGCAGAGAAGAAACTTGAAGGAAGTGGGAGCCAGGAGTGTCCGAGAGGGGAGAGAGGGCAAGGCTGGCAGGAAGTGCAGCACCTGCGTGGGAAGTGCCAAAGCGAGCCTGCCCACTTCCTGCACTCCCACGGTGCCCCACTGAGCCAGCCGTGGTGCCCACACTGGGTCTGCGCTTTCTCCTTCCCCAGATGACAGGTCTGAAAACTGACATGGAAGTAACCTACCGAAGGTGACCCAGAGAGGGAGTGGGGGGAGGGGGGAGAGGCCGCAGTGGGATCTAAGACTGTCTGGCCTGAAAACAGTACTTCTTCTCCTGGACCGCAGCGCTCTCCAGGGGGCACGACTTGGAATGGGCAAGGAGTAGGCTCAGCAACGCCTCTGCCTCTGCCTAGCTGAGAGTGGGAACTAGCTGCCCACGCTCAGACCAACAGCTTTTTCCTCCCAGCTGGACCAGCGGCTCCAAGGCCACACAAAAATTTACCTGTTTCTCCCTCCTCTCCTGGCTTTGGGAGCCTTTGAGTACACACACACACACACACACACACACACACACACACACACACACACGAAAGGCCCAGGGCATCCAGGAAACAGGGGGCTGCCCATCCAGGCTACCTCCTTCTGCGGTTTCTCTCTTTGCACTTTGCCCAGGCTGATATTAAGATTCATCTATTCCTTGCACAGCTTCTGGCAGATGGTGGGGGAGGAGGCTGGGTGTGAGCTGGGGGGCTGCAGCCAGGGACCACACCTGATCTCAGAGGGTCACAGAGGAGAGAGCGGAGAGCCTCCCACAGGCCCAGCCTAGGCTGGGGTCACCCCAGACGCCTCCAAGAGGTCCAAGGATCCCACCTTTTTGGTTTTCTGAAGACGAAGGGAGTTCTGGAGCTAGGAAGGAGGTCTAGCCATTGAGAGTTGGAGTGAAGAAGGGTGGAGCTCATGTTTAGGTTTTAATCTTTTTTTTTTTTTTTTTTTTGCCCTGTTGATCCGAAGAGACCAGAGCAACCTGAGGCCCCCACTGGGGTGGGACCCTTTTCAGCCTGGTGAGCACCTGCGTCGTGGAGAATGGGTAGGGAAGAATGGATGCTCTGAGGGGCCTTGTCCATCCCATCCACTGTCCTATTTCTCAGGAGGCAAACCCTTACCCCAACCCCAAAACCCATCCTGGTCCCTGGTGGTCTTTTCAGCCCAACGCCTCAACCAAATGCTTCCTAGTGATTGCTCTGAGGTCCTGAGATCATCTAAGAAGAAAAGGAGCGGACGTGTTAAGAAAAGGGGTGCTAGCTAGACAGTTAGAAGAACTTCCCTCCGCACCCCCGTCAAGTCTTGTAGGAAGTGGCAGCTGGGATCTGCTGTAGCTATCCTTGGGCCTTTAAAAAAAATGGGTCTAGAGAGAACTGTCTCTCCAAATTCCAGGACTCCTGGGGAGGTGGGGGTGTGGGGGGGTAGGTGGGACGACAGATTCCTGGTGCCGCGACAGAAAAGGCGCCCTGCCAGAAGGGCGGAAAAGCTGCTGTCCCCATCCGCAGTGTTCCAGCCGATCCCCGCCTCTCCGGGAGCTCCTCCGCCCTCCTCCTGTCCCCTGCGCCGGAAAGTCAGCGTCCCAGGTCCCCAAGCTGCGGCCCGGCAGGGGAGGAGTTAACCGCGGAGGTACCGACTGGGCTCACCGTACCTGCCGCCGCCGCCGCCGCCAGTGGGAGGGACGAGGAAGCGGGAGCCGCCTGGGCGCCAGGAGCGCTCCAGTCTGGCGGGGCGCAGCGCGGGGAGCGGGCGGCCGCGGCTCGGCGCGGCCCGGGGCGTCCGCCAGGGGGCGCGCCGCGACGGGGCGGGAGGGGCCGTCTGGTCTGGGGAATTAGCACCGGGGACGGGCGCGCGCGCAGGTCCCCGGCACATCTGGGCGAGAGCCGAGCCTCTGGAAGCGAGCGGGGCGCCGAGCGCCTGTCTGGAGCGACCGAGCCACCGCGCAGCCGGAGCCCCCTTCAAGACGCTCGGGGCGCACATCTGGGACCGCGAGAGGGGACCGCGCGGCGCGCAGCTGGACGCGGGGAGGGGGCGGCGGCGGCTGCACAGCTGGACCGAAGGGGGCGGGGTCGGTCCCGAGGAAGGGCTGAGGGGGAGGGCCGCGAGCCACCGGGGACCGGAGCATGGGACAGCGCGCCTGAAGGAGCAGTCCGGGGAGGAGGGGGCCCTGGGACCCCGAAAGGAAAGGAGAGAGACACGGGTGAGAGCAGACGAGAAAGATGCAACTGACCCGCTGCTGCTTCGTGTTCCTAGTGCAGGGCAGCCTCTATCTGGTGAGTGGTCCGCGGGGAGCGGCTCGGGGCGGGGGGCCAGAGGATGGGGAGAGCGCGGGAAGCTGCAGAGCCCTGAAACTTTCTCCCTCCCCCCCCCTCCCGGCATCCCGGGATGCGGGCGAACGCTAGAGGATAGGGGAGAGGGCGGGTCCGAGGCCAGAGGCCGGACGGGAAGGGTTAATAGGGGCGGGGAGGAGGGTGCCAGGCTGGCCCACCCACTCCGCGGCTTGATGGCGGGAGGCGCGAGTGACACCAGGGAAAAGGCCCCCCGAGCTGAGTCGCCAAGGATTACCCGACCTCTCGTAGCATCCCAGGACGCGCGCGGAACGGGGGTGGGGCAGGTGACCTGCCCGGTCAGGAGACGCGGGCTTCTTCTCTCCTGACCTCTGGGGCCCAGAGAACCCCCGAACTGTGGGCCCTGGCGCGCCAAGCCCCGGCGGACTGGGGGCGGCCCCCGCGTCCCTGCCTCCCGCCGTCCCTCCCGCTCCCTCCCTCCTCGCCTGTTGTTTTCCTCGCCTCTCCCGGCTGCGCGCAGCCCGAGCCCCACAGGACCTGGGCAGGCGGCTCCCGCCCCAGGCGCTCACAGCAGCTGAGCTGAGCTGAGCGCCCAGAGCCCGCTCCCCCGCGGTCCAGGATGCTCTAGAACCCCACCCCGGACCCTAGCCCCGAGCTTAACTCCCCCCCCCAGACCCATGCCCGCCGCCCCACATCTGCCCCGACCCCAATCCTGTCCTGGAGAAGCCTCAGTGCCACCGGAACTGCCCCTTACTCAAAACAATTCCCATTGATAGCAACCCGCAACCGCAGCCCACTGTTGGGCTGGAGGAGGGAAGGGAGGATGCCTTCCTCGCTTGGCCCTTACCTGGGGCCCTATTCGCTATTGACTGTCTCAACCGTTCAGTGAAACCCTAGAGCCAAGTACGCACAGGTGGGCAGCCAGGAGCCTCCCTTCCTGCCTGTCCTGACCCTGGGGTCACCGGGGACCTGGAAGGCAGGGCCGGCCTTAACTGGAACTGGCTTGGTCACTTGGCTTGTACATGAGCACAGCCAAGGCCAGAGCAAGAGGCATAGAAACTAAACCCTTTTGGAGCCTCCCATTCCATCTCCTCAGGAATCCCTCTGCCCCACCCATGCCATCACCAGTCCAGATGTTGTGGTTAAGCCCGTGTCCCCCTCACCGTCGACACAGACACACTGGTGAAAACTTGGTTTCAGAAACTGAGCAAACACACCTCCGAGCCACTGAGCCTTAGGGAGCCAGGGAGCCTCCCTGTCGCCCTGCTGAGCCCTGCTGAGCCCTGCTGAGCCCTGCTGAGCCCTGCTGGCTCTCTCCACTCTCCTCCTGATGCCTCCCCAAGGTGTGGCCTGTCACCATAGCTGAGCCCGCAGGGGCAAGACAAGCTCTGCCCAGAGTCTGACAGGACGTTCCGGGTGGACACAGGGCTTCGGTAAAAGTCTTTTGCGAAGGTACGAGGCGGGACTGTGCCTCGTGACGGGAGGGAGGGCTGTCACTTGTGACCCGTGTGTCCTGTGGTGATGTAACCTACAAGTCCTGATGTCCTCACCTGCGAAATGGGACTCCGGAGAACTGGTCCCCTCCCCATGCGAGTGCGGTCTCGGCGTGTCATCGCGTGTTCCTGGGAGAAGGCTTTTGCTTCCACAAGCTTTGGCCATCTGGGTGTGGCATTCATGCCTGGTCTCCTAGCCTTAGCAAAACCTGAGCCGATCTGATAACTGACCAGGCCTCTCATTGGATTCTGGGTTCTTAGTTTATGGGCTGTCGGCTGCCTTTGCCTCTAAGGGCAAAGACATTCCTAGGCTAGGAATGGTGTCTCAGGCAGAAGATGGAAACATCTTGAAAGGCGTGAGATGGTGTGTGCGCAGACAGAAGGGAGCTTCCAGGACAAGAACGGGGCTTCCCAAACACCTTGCAGCCCCTTATCTCCAGGCGAAGGACTCTTGGAGGACAGAAGTGATGCTTCTTGGACGTTTCTGGAGTAGAAATTCTACCTCTCCTTCCGTGTGGGGGCTTCTGCAAGATCAGACCCTGAGCCCCTCCCATCTGACTAGGGCCTATCCGGGGAGTAGTGCTGTGTGTCTCGGGTACCTCGTTCCCTGGCCACCCTTCCAGATTTTAAATAGCAGCCAGAGCCTAGTAAAGACAGGACAAGGAGGTTCCTGAAGTATCAGAGCATGAGCGTGGATGGCGAGAGAGCCAGGGCGCACACCTGACCCCAGCACAAGGGAACGAGCGGGTGCCCTCCGCTGCCCAGCCTTAGTTAGACAGGGACAGAGGCCATGCGGGTGGTGATGGGGTGGTCTGCCAGATCTCAAATCCTCCGGGTCCTCTGCGGACAAAACTCTAATTCTCTTTCCGCATCCCTCCCGTAGGTCATCTGTGGCCAAGAGGATGGCCCCCCTGGCTCAGAGGACCCTGAGCATGATGACCACGAGGGCCAGCCTCGGCCTAGAGTGCCTCGGAAGCGAGGTCACATCTCACCTAAGTCCCGCCCCTTGGCCAACTCCACCCTCCTAGGGCTGCTGGCCCCACCTGGGGAGGCTTGGGGTGTCCTCGGGCAGCCCCCCAACCGCCCCAAGCAAAGCCCCCTACCCTCGACCAAGGTGAAAAAAATATTTGGATGGGGTGATTTCTATTCCAACATCAAGACAGTGGCCCTGAACCTGCTGGTCACAGGGAAGATCGTGGACCACGGCAACGGGACCTTCAGCGTCCACTTCCGCCACAACGCCACGGGCCAGGGTAACATCTCCATCAGCCTTGTGCCCCCGAGCAAAGCCGTGGAGTTCCACCAAGAGCAGCAGATCTTCATCGAAGCCAAGGCCTCCAAGATCTTCAACTGCCGGATGGAGTGGGAGAAGGTAGAACGGGGCCGCAGGACCTCGCTCTGTACCCACGACCCTGCCAAGATCTGCTCCCGAGAGCACGCGCAGAGCTCGGCCACCTGGAGCTGCTCTCAGCCCTTCAAGGTCGTGTGCGTCTACATCGCCTTCTACAGCACGGACTACCGGCTGGTGCAGAAGGTGTGCCCAGATTACAACTACCATAGCGATACCCCCTACTACCCATCTGGGTGACCTGGAGAGGCCGCGGAGGTCTGCGCAGGAGGCTGGCTGTCTGGACGCTGCTGGGCAGGGAGAGGGATGGGTCTCAGGAAGGGAGGGGGTGGAGAGCACGAGAGGCCAGGTGGGCCAGGGTCAGGCCTCCGGTGGTGTCGGGGAAGGGTCCCCAGGGCTGACCCCCACCTGAGGTTAGAACGTGTTTGTTATGGAGGAGAAACAGGCCCTGGGCAGCCTTACGGGGCTTTCCCTCTGATCCAAAGCGGATGCTGGGTCCTGAGGCCCCTGAGCAGGCAGGCTGGGCGGCCCCAGATCAAGCCACGGAGAAGACCTTTACCCTTGAGTCCCTCCTTGCCATTCGAAAAGAGACCAGCAGTCCACAAAGGGGAGTCCAACTGTGTAGGCCCGGATAGACGACTTAGGACGGATGGCTCAGTGGCTTCCCTCACGGGGGCTGGCGGTGGGCAGCCCCGAGCCCCTTTCCTGCACAGAGGCTGAAGTGGCGACCTCATCCCCACCCTCAGGTCTTTGCTGTCATGACTACCTGTCGCTAGCAAGCCGAGGCCACCCCTCTCCAAAAGTCCCCTCCCCTTCCAACACTTCCGTACTTGTGTCACCCTGTTGCTGATGGCGCACCATCCTGTCCTTCAGCGGAAGCAGGACTGTTAGCATGTCCTCTTAGCATGAAGGACAAAGAGCAGAAGCCTGGCCTGTGTGCTGCTCGCCCTGCCCTGCCTCTGCCCCTACCCCCTGCTGAGAGTGTTCCCTCAAACAGCCAGCTCTCTGCGTCTGTCTGTCCGTCCGTGAGACTGGGGCATTCTGGAATAGGGACCAGGGCCTCCAATGCCGGGCCTCGAGGCTATCAGTAGAGGGGGGGAGCGCGCGCGCGCGGGAGGCTGGACTGTGTGGCCACGCTGGAACTGTGCCCTAGTGTTGTCTGTGGGGTGGGGGGAGGGGTGGGAAGTCTCGTGAAATGCCCTGTCACTTCCGTGTGCAGAGTCTTGTCCTAGGAGCAGGGAATAAAGCTTTCCCTGGGCACTGTGTTCTGAGTTATCCGGGGGAGAGGGACCACCCCACCCACCCACCCCGTCTGGGTAGCCGCAGACCACCTGGAGCTGGGGCTCGCTGGGGTCTCTGGGCTGCCCCATGGCACCTGAAGGGGCAGCTGGGGGGGGGGGGGCATGAGCCAGCAAGGAAGGTACAGGCCACGTCCTCCTCCACAGGTCCTCACTGAATTGCCATCTCTGTGCCTGCAGGGGGCAGTGGCAGATACCAGCGGTGTCCCGGCTCTGCCATTGTTTTTCTGTCTGGGCTGATGAAGTTCACACACCTCACTGGCCTCTCTCCGTGTCGTGTCCTCCTCTCTGGAGCAGCACTAGCACCCATGAGAGTCCCCTCAGAGGGCTACAGCCTTCCGGGGTCCCTCCTGACTCAGCAGGAGTGGGTGGAGCCTGAGGAGGAGCTGGCCCTGGGCAGAGAGACAGCTGACACACCTTGAACACTGCCTGATGACCTCTAAGCAAACTTGGCTCCAGCGTCAGAGGATGGAGCGATCCCTCTCCGCTCTCTCCAGCTGTGACTCCCATCTGCCTCTTAGGGGAGAAGGGACAGAGTGAGGTGGCGTGGGGACAAACAGAGCAGGAGAGTAGCCACTTCCTCATACAGCTGGGGGTGGCATCAGAATGCATGGAGGCCCAGTCCAGGCTCCCTGACTTGGGGGGGGGGCTCAGCGAAGGGGGGGCTGGAGCCTCCACTGTGTTGCTCCCTCCGGAGGTCATTCTAGGCCTGCTCTCTCTGAAGGTCAGCACTCAGGTCCCCGAGGTCCCTCTTGGAAACAAGGTAGCCGTAATGAGGAGAGTCCTAATGTGAGGGCCAGCAGCCTGACCTCTTCTAGTCTTTGCTCTCTGCCCAGTAGCTCTGAGCCCAGATGGTCCACACTGCGGCACACAGACACTTGGTTGTAGCCCCTCTGTGTGTGACGTGACCTAGAAAGCAAGATGTGAGGGGGGCGGCCGAGGGGCACACTCCCTGTCCAGCTATGCCCTGAGCGGACTCAAGACATACATGCCCCTACACAGCTTTCTCTCACCTCACCCTCCGTACCGTGCCAGTGACTAGGGGTTGGACTCCGCCCCTCCCCAAACCTCCCGCCCCTCCCCCAAGAAAAACCTTGGCTGCTGGGATTGGGAGGGCTCTCCCACCTGTGCCTCTCAGCAGACACTGTCCCAGGGCACCTGTAGGGTCTGGCAGAGGAGGAAGACACTGTGAGGCGCCCCCCCCCTTCCCCACCCCTGTGTGAACACTGAGCCCTTGCAGAGCATGGGGGCACACTGACCTGCCCCTCCTACCCCTCTTCTCCCGTGGAGAGCCAGCTGCTGCCGACAGCTGGAGGGCCCGGCCTTTCTGGCACAACCGTGCTGCCTGCGCAGGGGGTGGGCTCATTTTAATAACTTCATTTCACCCTCATGCACACTCTGCCTCCTTTTCTCTGCCTCCTCCCCCCTTCCACCCCCACCCCCCCAGCAATCGGGCTGTTCTCAATTCGGATTTGGCTAACAAATGTCTACCCAAATCCCAATTCCTTGGAGGAGCCCTCTGGCCTCTCAGGCTTTTTAGATAGTTCTCGGAGCCCCCTCAGTCCTCACAAGGGTAGCGGATCCACTTCCCTGGTGGAGAGGGTACCCAGTTCTGCCCTCCAGCTATGGCATCCCCTGTAGAGACAGACCTTAGGTTTCACCAGGGTCCCAAGGCACCCTGATCTCTCAAGCCTTTGGAAACACCCTCAGGAGACTAGTTCTCGAAGGGTCTCTCCAAGAGAAGGGTGTGGTCCTACCCCCCCCAACCCTTTGACCTCCCTGAGGTACCTTGAGGGCCGGCTCGCAAGCACCTTATCATGCTGTCTGGGGACCCTGGTCTGTCCCGGCCTCCACCTACTAGAGACAAGGGATCTTGTCTCTCTAATAGTGTAGCCCCTGGAGCAAGCCTACCAAACCAGGGGGCTCTCTGAGGACATGGCTTGTGTTTCCCCCATCAGAGTCTTGGGGGGCTGGGGGAGTCACACCTCTCTCCTGAACACTCTTGGAGGAGGAGGAGCGGGGTAGCGCTTCAGACTAAGGTGAAGGCTGTCCCTCTCTCTCATCAGATTAGCATCCTCCTGAGGGCCAGAAAAGAACCACTCTTTTCTAAATGCCAGGGGCACCTGGAGTTGCTTTGCTCATCAGCCTTGCACACACGTGCCACCTGGCCACAGTGGTCCCATCCGTACTGCAGTAACTTCCTCCGTAACCTGTGAGCAAGTAGGGGTGCCAACTGCCAGCCGAGCCCCGTTAGTCCTCCCGGTGAAGCTTAAGCCAAAACTGAATGGGCTTTCTGTCCCTCCTCCCTCTCCTTCATTCTTCTTTCCTAGATGAGCAAGCGGGAACTGAGTCACCCCCTTCCCCATTCTTGGCAGGAATGCCGATGACCTTGCAATGTGGCAGGCTCCCGTGGAGAGGTCCATTGCTCAGAGATGCATGGGTGGGTGGAGAGGGAAGCTGGAGGAAGGGGTTTGTGGGGGCGGAGGCGGCTGAAGGTCATCGGGGACTTGGATCGTGGAGTGGGCATTTGCAGTAGGTTGTGGAAAACTCAATGAAGCAGTGACTCCCAGTTGGGAAGTGATCCAATGTCATGGCTGGGAGTGGGAGAAAGAAATGTTGCTTCCGTGAAGACTCTTACTTCTGAGGTGCTGACTGGAGAACCGGGGAGCTGGGGTGACAGGTGACAGGAGACACCATCAGCCTCGCCAGGCAGAGGCAAGGTGGGGTGGGGGCGGAACCTGCCAGCTATTCGAAGTCCTGGAGTGACAGTATCTCCAAGACACAAATGCCACAAGAGACGTGGATCTTGCCCATCAGAGGCTGGGTTCTGGGTCCATCTGGGACCTTGTTTCCTGTTGACCTGTTGAGCTTTAAAAGGCTGATCCAGCGGGGTGGGGGGGGTGGGGGGGGTGAAGGTTGCTGAGCTCAAGGATTCTCGGTACACCAGCTCAGAGCCACCTAGCTAGGTGTCCCAAGGAACATACTAGTTCTTCCTGAACCACAGAGGCTTCCAAGGAAGAGGATGTGCAGGAAGCTCAAGATGGTCCCTGCTGTGGAATGGATTGTCTGATCTTGGACAAAGGACCATCTCCAAGAACCTCTTTACTTGAGGGTTTTTGTTGTTGTTTATCTGTTTTGTTTTGAGACAGGGTTTCTCTGTGTAGCCTTGTCTGTCCTGAAACTTTCTCTGTAGACCAGGCTGGCCTGGAACACACAGAAATCCACCTGCCTCTGCCTCCAGAGATTAAAAGGTGGCACCACCACCCTCTGGCTTGAATATTTTGAAACAAAGTCTTAGTATGTAACTCGGCCGCCCAGGAATTCAATAGGTAGACCAGACTAGCCTCAAACTTTGAGATGCACCTGCTTCTGCCTCCTGAGAGCTGAGAACAAAGGCGTGTGCCACTCACTCAATGAGCCTCCTTCTTTGAAGAGGTGAAAGGTCTACCTCGGTACATTGTTGGTGAAATTGTTGGTGCGAGGCTGGAGGGTGAGACATGGATTCCTGCTACATGATGCCTGTGGCAGAAATGGCTAATTGACTTGCAGTCTATGCGATGGTGAATCTGCGTTGTCAGCTTGACTGGATTTAGAATGGTGTAGGGGCCACACCTACCCCATTTTGTAGTGTCTGCAAGGGTGTTTCCAGAGAGGTTTAACTGAAAGAGGACGACTGGCCCTGCATGTGGGGAGAACAGTCCCCTAAGCTGGGGGTCCCAGACTGAACCAAAAGAAAGAAAAAGAAGCTTAACACCACACACTCCGGCCCCACACATGATGTCATCCCTTCCCTGCCATGACGGACTGGGTCTCTTCAAACTGCGAGCCCAAACAAACCAACAAACCCTTTCTTTTTATCTGTTTTTGTTACAGGGGCAAGATACCTAATACAGTATCCATTTCCCTTGTCTCTTTAGTGAAGGGATCCCTGGTTGTTAGCTGGGCACACAGCTGCCTGACATAATCCGATATTTTTCAGTCCCTACCCCTGTGCCCCTGCCTTCTACATGTGGCCGTGTGACTGAAGATCTGGCCAGTGACCTTTAGGCCGAGTGATTATACAGTAAATCTCAGGCATCTTAAGATAGAGGTGTTCACTGTTTTTTTCCTTCTTTGTCCCCCATTCACCATCCAGGTTGTAAGCTCTATGAAGATGTGGTCTCTGAGAGCCCTAAGCTTTCTGTGAGAAAAATGAAATTCCCATCTGTATGCCTCTGGTTTAGGGTTCCTCCCCCCCACCCCCCTTTTCTGAGGCAGATCTCACGTAGCCCAGGCCTAGCCTGGCTATATATCAGAAGCTGGCCTTGACCACCTCCCAGGCCTCCTCCCTCTGTCTCTGAGGTCCGGAATCATAGGCAGGTGCCAGCACATCCCAGGGGCTCCATTTCTTGAAGCTGTATCTAGTGCATTTCCTGCAGACTTTGGTCTCCTCATCTGTAGAGTCAAGACAACACCCCCACATCTCACTCGTCTCAGAAATGTGTGTAGACTTCTAGGCAGGAAGGAAAGTGCTGCCCTCTCCTTTCCTCGGCCTCATTTCTGGAGGTGGTAGTACAAGTGGCTTCTTTATTTCAGGGAGCCCCGGGAGCTCAGGATTCTCTGCCCCCCGTCTGAAGGGCCTCCTGGCCCCAAATTCAGTCCTCACGTGTCTAAGTCCCCGTACACATTCTGATGTTGGTGACACACAATCCTCGTTAAGGGCCTGACTGATCCCAGCCAGATGGGATCCTAATTTAATTAAAACCCTTTAATTACCTGCAACAACACTGCTTTGGAAGTCCAGAGGCAGAAGGGGGTTGGTGATGGGAGGGGGCACTGTTGACAGGGCAGAGGAGTGGCTGGCCTATCAGCCCCCAGAGAGCTGGCATTGCCTCCTATGCCTCCCGTGCCTCCCATTGTCGTGGCTACAGAATAGCCAGCACAGCCAGAATTCTGGCTTGGTCTATAGGG